TTCCAAAACTAAAACATCGAGAAATTGAGAAATTTAAAAATGAAAAAAATCAAGAAATTGAAAATCTGAAAACTGAAAAATCCCGACACCGAAATATCGAAAATCGAAAAATTGAGGAATCGAAAAAAACTGAAAAATTCCAAAACACAAACGACAAAAAATCGGATTATCAAAAAAGCGGAAAGTCGAAAAGTCGAAAGCTCGAGAAATTGAAAAACTAAAAAATCTAAAACCAAGGAGTCAAAAGTTCGACAAATCAAAACATCAAAAAACTGAAAAATCGAAAAACTGAAGAATCGAAATATTAAATCCCGAAACTGATAATATGGAAAATTGAAAATTGGAAGAAAAATTGAGAAATCGAGATACTGAATAATCTAAAATTTAAAAATTGCAAAATTAAAATATCCAAAAATTGAAAAATCTAAAATTTAAAAATCGAAAAGTAAAAAATTGAGAAATCGAAAAGTCGAAAAATCGAAAAACTGAAACTCAAAATTTGAAAAATCCCAAAACTGATAATATCGAGAAATCGAAAAATCAAAAACAAACCGAAAAATACCAAAACTGAAACACCAAAATTGAAAAATCTAAATATGAAAAAAATCAAGAAATTGAAGATCTGAAAACTGAACATCCCGACACTGAAATATCTAAAATCGAAAAATTGAGGAATCGAAAAAACTGAAATACTATTCCAAAACTGAAACGACGAAAAATCGGAAAACTGAGGAACTGAAACATCTAAACATCAAAAAATTCAAAAACTTGATCATCGTCAATCGAGACATCAAGGGCCGGTTGCATTAACGCAAATCAAATTTAATCTCTGATTAAGAACAATTGTAACTATGATAATAACAATCGTTACTATGGAGTTAATCAGACATTAAATTTGATTTGCGTTTATGCAACCGGCCCTTGATGTCTCGATTGACGATGATCAAGTTTTTGAATTTTTTGATGTTTAGATGTTTCAGTTCCTCAGTTTTCCGATTTTTCGTCGTTTCAGTTTTGGAATAGTATTTCAGTTTTTTCAGAAATTGAAAAGTCCACAAGTCGAAAAATTAGGAAATGGAAAAATAAGAGAAATTGAACAACCAAAAAATCCAAAGATCGAAAGCTCGAGAAATCGAAAATCTAAAAAATCTAAAATACTTCAAAATCAAAAAATTGATAATCTGGAAAAATTGAAAATTGGACGGAAAATTGAGAAATCGAAAATCTAAAACATCGAGGAAATCGAAAAATCGAAATCTTTAAAAAAAAATCCTTGGAAACTTGAAAACCTGAAAAATCGAAAAATTGAAAAATCGTAAAACTGCAACGTTGGAAAATTTAGAAATCGAAAAATGAATAATTTTAAAAACCGAAAAATTGAAAAACTGAAAAATCTGACACCAAGAAGTCGAAAATCGAAACATCGAGAAATGGAAACACTGAAAACTAAAAAATCGAAAACATAAAAATTCGGAAAATGGAAGAAAAATAGAGAAATCGAAAAACTGAAACATCGGGGAAATCGAAAAATCGAAATCTTAAAAAATCAAAACATTGAAAAATCGTAAAACTGCAACGTTGGAACATTGAGATATCGAAAAATGAATACTTTTAAAAACCGAAAAATTGAAAAACTGAAAAATCTGAAACCAAGAAGTCGAAAATCGAACCATCGAGAAATGGAAACACCGAAAACTAAAAAATCGAAAAACTGAAACATCGAGGAAATCGAAAAATCGAAATCTTAAAAAATCAAAACTTTGAAAGTCAAAAACCAGAAAAATCGTAAAACTGCAATGTTGGAAAATTGAGAAAACGAAAATTGAATGATTTTAAAAACCGAAAAATTGAAAAATCGAAAAATCAAAAATTTTAGAAACTGAAACATCTGAAACCAAGAAGTTGAAAATCGAAAGATCGAGAAATGGAAACACCGAAAACTAAAAAATCGAAAACATAAAAATTCGGAAAATTGAAAAATAGAAATGTCAAAGAACTGAAAAATTGGGAGATCGAAAAGTCTAAAATTTAAGAATAAAAAAATTAGAATATCTAAAACTTCAAAAATCGAAACTTCGAAAAATTAAGGAATCCAAAATTTATACATTGAAAAATCGAAAACGTAACAAATGGAGAGACATCGAAAAATTGAAGAATTAAAATCCTAAAACTGATAATATCGAAAAATTGAAAAATGGAAGAAAAATTGAAAAATCCCAAAACTGAAACATCGGAAAATTGAGAAATTGAAAAATAGGGAACACGAAAAGTCGAAAAACGGAAAATTTAAAAAATCAAAAGATTGAAACATTAAAATATTGTAAAACTGAAACGCCGATCGTTCAATTTATTCTTCGATTTTTCAGATTTTCGTTTTTTTATTTTTTTTTTAATTTCTAATTTTAGATTTTTTGAATTTTCCATTTCTCGACTTCTCGATTTTTCAATGCTAAAATTTTTCGATTTTTCAAGGTTTCGATTCCTCAACTTTTCGGCATTTCTATTTTGGGAATTTTTTCGTTTCTGTATTTTTCAGTTTTTTGATAATTTAATTTTAGATTTTTCGGTGCATCGATTCCTCAAATTTTCGACTTTTCGATGTTTCGGTTTCTCGATTTCGCGTTATTTCGATTTTTCGGCCTTTCGATATTGCAAATTTTCAATTTGCGAAATTTCGAATTTTCAATTTATTTCCTTTTCGATTTTTCAGTTTTTCCATTCTTTAGTTCTTAGTCTTTTCAATTTGCTTTTCGATGTTCAAATTTTGAATTTCTTTACTTTTCGATTTTCAGTTTTTCCGTTCGAGAAATTGAAAAATCGAGAAATCTAAAAATCGAAACATCGAAATCCGGATCATTCGAAAAATCGAAAAATGATAATACAGAAAAAATTTAAAAACTAAAAAATTGAAACATCAAAAACCGAGAAATCGAAGAAATTAACAACAAAAAATTGAAAAATCATAACATATAATTGAAAAATCCTAAAATTCGATCTCCAAAAATTGAACAATCGATAAGTTGAAGAATTAAAAAATCTCAAAATTGAAAAAGAAAAACTGAGATATCGAAAGATATCAAAATCGGGCCGAGACGCTGAAACATCGAAAAATTGAGCAATGGAGAAGTGGGAAAATCAAAATATTCAAAAATCGAAAAATCTAACAGTCAAAAGGTCGAGAAGTCGAAAAATCGAAAAGCCGAAAAATTGGAAAAGTCAAAAATGGAAAAGTGGAAAAAAAAACACAATCGAAAAATCAGTCGATCGAAAAATCGAAAATTTAGAAACACCAAAAACTGGAATATTAAAAAATCGAAAAATTGAAAATTCGAAAATTAAAAAATCCTAGAACTCGAATGTTACAAAATTTTAAAATCAAAGAAAAATTGAACATAAAACTCAAAAATCTCAAAACCGGAAAAATTAAAAAATCGAAAATGCGAAAAGTCGAGACACCGAAACACCGAAAAATTGACCAATCGAGAAATAAGAAATTCAAAATATCGAAAAATCAAAACACCTAATAGTCGAAAAAGCAAGAAGTCGAAAAATCGAGGAATCGAAAAACTGATTGACAGAAAATTAGAAAATTTAAAAACACCAAACACTGGAATTTTTAAAAATCGAGAAATTGAAGAATCGAAAAATTGAAAAATCGTAACACTGAAATACATATCGGAAAATAAAATAATCGAGAAATAAAAAATTGGAAAAATCGAGAAATAAAAAATTGGAAAAATCGAGAAATTTAATAATCGAAAAATTCAAAAATCCCAAACTCAAAAATTGAAAAACGGATCAATCGGTAAATCAAAAATTTGTCGAAAATTGTACATTTTGACTAAAAAGTTACCATGCTTACAATAACTTCAAAACGTCTGCAAGATTTCAAAGTATTTAACTTTGCAATTCTTGACTTAAGCAATAAAATAAATTGATTCAGTCATTAATTTTTTTTGAGACACCCTATATAAGCAAATCTAAAAAATAATCAGACTCATCATGTTTTGCCCATTTAAGACAGGATTTATTGGGCAAAATTTTGAGCTGACGTCATCAATTTTTTGGAGCCGATCAGCAAATATATTTTGATTAAAAATGTATCATGCTTATCATAAGTTTTAAATTTCAGAGCATTCAGTTTTGTAGATTCAAAATTAAATTAAAAAAATCTGGACGTTTCTGTTGAAAACTCAACACGGCGTCATAAACTACATGTGTAGGACTATGTTATTTTATATAATTTAAAACAGATTTACTATGCACAATTTTGAAGTGACGTCATCACATTATTGGTGGGGATGATTAGACAAATTTTGGTTAGCGTTTTACCTTCTACATGATATTCCTAATGTAAATACAAAATTTGACAACAATCGGGCCAGTACTTTCGGAGATTATCTGACTAATAAAAGTCGAGAAAACGTAAAAGTAGAGTCGACCGACGGACTCGATTACAATACTTCCTTCACTTACGCTCGGGAAGTAAAAATAAAGCAAACATTCTAGAATCGATCATTTCTGTACGTTTTTATTGACCTTTGTTAAAACAATAAAAATTTCCAAGAGCAACGCAGGATTGACAGTTCCATGACAACGTCAGTTATGTGCGTCTTTCAAAAGTTCCGAAGATAATTCATTTGGTCTCGTCCAAATAAGAACTCTACTATACTTCCAATGAATGACAGAAATGCGGCCACGGCCACAAACGTAAGCAGAATCATCCCCTTAACTAGAATTTCGGCGATCAAAATCCATACACCGAGCAGCAGAAAAATCACCATGAAGGGGAAAAAAAATATCCACAGCAGAATAGCGCAGATAATAGATAGAACGTGAATGCACTCCTGTTGTCGCTCCATTCCACAATTTGTTAGCTTTTATTGATCACATATTGATTTGTACGTAGTCATAATAAATTGATTTTCAAAAATGATTGTCAAAATGAATATCATGGAAACGTGTTTCTCCAAAGTAACAATAAAATAAGAAAAACTCACCGTCGCTGGTATTCTCATAGTAACTCGACCTATCGGAACTGCTGTAGCCGTCTGAGTCCGAGTCGTCGCGCTTCTTCGAGTAGCGTCGGTTAAATCGCTCCGCCCACTTCAGAGTTCCTTCTTTAGTGGCCGGTTCCTCCAACGCCTCTTCGTACGCGTCCTCATCATCGCTATCAGTGTCGCTGAATTAAAAAAAAAAACACTCATTTCTTTTCTTCTTTATAACAACTTAACCTGTACCTCAAACTCGACGACTCGTCGTCGCTGCTTCCCAACTCCGCCGCCGAAGCGCCGAAGTTCTTGTCCGTCCACTCGTCTTCGTCCATCTGGCTCAGGGACTCCTCGTGGTCGGAAGGATTCACGCCGCTCAGGTTGGCAAACTCGATCCTTTCGGGTGTTTGTACTCTGTCGAGCAGATCGACGCCGGCGATTCCGCTCAGGGGTTTCTTCTCCGGGCTCTTGCCTGGCTGCCGCTGAGACGGTTTGCGCGCGACCTTGGTGGCCCGTACTTCGCCCTGCATGCCGTAGTGGTGGATGCAGAAGAACTTGTGGTCGTAGATTCCGTCCCTGTCGAAAGCGTAGGAGCCGAGGCGAAGCTGGGTGTTGCAGTATTGACATTTGAAGCAGCCGTGGTGGAAGAAGCGGCCCTCGGCGGACAGGCGCTCCATCAGGTAGACGCGTTTGCCGCAGAAGTGGCAGAATTCGGAGGCGTTTTGGCTAGGGAGTATCACAGGGCGGGAGTTCTGCAACGAAATTTGTGTTTGTTATTTTTATTTGGCATTTTCTGTCAAGGGTAAAATAAAAAGTATAGATCGATTTTTTTTTGTTAAAAGTGAAAATAAAAGATGAATTATCCAGAAAATCATCTGTTGTGACGACTGACTGAATTATTTTTTGCAATGTAAACCTAAAATGCAGCTAGAAGTGCGGATTTTGATCGTTGATGGGATAATTTTTCTTTGAGGTTATTCATCCCATATATTCGAGGTAAACGTTGCAGTTTCAATTAAACTGTCTCAACTAACTTTCCAAAATTTCATACTGTGAATAATTCGTCAATTTTGTAAGTATGCTATCAATCGATAAGCATGATTTTAAAAATGAATTGCACAGTCCACTAGAGGAGTTTTTTTCCCATGTGGTATTATTACAAAAAAAATTAGGTCAAGTATTTCCACCAAGGAAATTTCAAAAGTTAAGTCAAGATTTGTAGAACAATTTTTCAACTTTCGGTTTCCCAGTTTTTCGATTTTTCAACTTCCGGATTTTCAAATTTTTCAATTTCCCGATTTTTAAAATTTTCGGATTCTGGATTTTTTATTTTTCAATTTTTTTATTTTTGGCATTTCTAAATTTTTGATTTTTCGATTTCTGAATGAATTGATTTTTTGATTTCCTCATTTATCAACTGTTCCATGTTTCAATTTCTCAATTTATAATAATTGCATTTATTAACGCCAATAAAGCTATTACAGAGTAAAATAAAAAAAAAAAAACTACAATAAACTACAATAAACAGAAACGCACAACTTACATTCTAAAATAAATTCCTAAAATAAATTAATTGCATAGAGAGACGAATTAATGGAGCTTGTCATGGTTTTATGGTCAGCTGGGTGCTTCTTCGAAAAAAAATATTTACCAAAACACCTTCAGGCCAATAACTAGGAGAGAGGAGAGTTTCTTTAAGATCTCTGGGAACTTCAATTTTAAAAGAAGAGTAAACATCGGGTTTCTTGGAAACTAACTTTTCACATAAAACGTACTTGTTCAGAGTACTAAGGTAATCTAAGATATCTCGTTCAGTTGTGGCAGGGACAAGGCGACTTAGATGTATAGAGATAGTAGACTTTTTGAGAACACTTAAGAGTTTTCTGTTGTTTGAAGTGCCGATAATTGGTTTAGTCTTGTTTTGAGTGAGGCCGGTAGAAAAAAAATCGACAGACTTCTTAGGATTAGCCTCTGACTCCTTGACGTTACTTTTGATAACATTTCTTTTTTTCTTGTATACCACTTCTTTGAATTGATTATTACTGACCAAATCTTCGATTGGATGAGAGTTACTTACATCGTTGTTAATATCAATTAGTGAGTTCATTACAGTTTTCTGAAGTTCTTCCAATTCATGAAGATTTTGTTTTGTATTTAGATCATCACTCGTAGTGAGAGATAAACTCAGACCAGCGGCATGTGTCGTTTCCGAAATTTATCTATTTTTTTTACAATTAAAATTCTTCAGTTGATTTTGGGCTATTTTGATTTCCCGATTTTTGGTTTTTCGGCTTTACTATGTTCGATTTCTCAAGCTCTCGACTTTTCCATTTTTTAAACTTTTTGATTTTTGGATTTTTCAAGTTTTCGATTTGTCAGTGTTTCAACATTTCAGTTTACGGTATTTTTCCTTTTTTTTGATATTTCAGATTTTTCAATTTTCTGATACATCGATTGCTCGGTCTTTCGATTTTTTGAAATTTGGATTTCATTATTTCGATTTTTCAATTTTTCAATTTTTCGAGATTTCGATTGTTCAATTTATCTTTTTTTCAAGTGTTTTCAATTTTTCGGTTTTGGGCTAATTCGATTTCTCGATTTTTCCAGTTCTCAATTTGTCGATCCTTTGATGTTTCGATTTTCCAATTTTTCGATTTTAGATTTTTCAATTTATCGATTTCGAAAATTTTGGACATTTCAGTGAGAGAATTTTTCAATATCTTGATTTTTTCGTTTTTCAACTCGTCGATTTTTCAAATTTTACATTTTTCGATTTTTCCATTTCTCGATATTATGATTTTTTCATATTTCGATTTTTCGATTAAAAATATTTTTTTTATAATTCAATTTTCCGATTTTTCGAGTTTCCGATTTTCCAATTTATCGATTTCTTGATATTTAAATTTTTTGATTCTAAATGAATTGATTTTTTGACTTTCTCAATTATCGATTTCTCAAGTTTTCAATTTCTCAATTTATCGATTTTTTCATTCTTTAGTTTTTAATGTTTTGATTTTCGGCTATTTCGATTTCTCGGTTTTTGGTTTTTCGGCTTTTTTTCGACCAAAAAATGATTTTTTTTTAATATTTCGAATTATCAAAATTTCGATTTTACAAACTCTCGGTTTTTCCATTTTTTAAACTTTTCGATTTCTGGATTTTTCAAGTTTTCGATTTCTCAGTTTTTCAACATTTCAGTTTACAGGATTTTTCATTTTTTCGAGATTTTAGATTTTTCGATTTTCTAATGTTTCGGTTCTTCGGTTTTTCGATTTTTCGAATTTTGGATTTCAATTTTTCGGTGTTTTGATTATTCGATTTTTCAATTTTTTAATTTCTCGAGATTTTGATTGTTCAATTTTCCGATTTTTCAAGTGTTTTCAATTTTTCGATTTTGGGCTATTTCAATTTCTCGATTTTTTGATGTTTCGATTACGTGATGTTTGAATTTTTCGATGTTTCGATTTCCCAATTTTTTGACATTTCAGTGTTATATTTTTTTATTTTACATTTTCCGATTTTTCCATGCCTTGATTTTATGATTTTTTAATATTTCGACTTTATTTTTTATTATACTAATTTTTCGATTTCTCACCCTTCGGTTTTTCCATTTTAAAAATTTTTTCTACTTTTCGATCTCTGGATTTTTCAAGTTTTCGATTTCTTAATTTTTCAACATTTCAGTTTTGGGAATTTTTCATATGTTCTATATTTTAGTTTTTCGATTTTTTTATATTTTAAATTTTATGAAGTTTCGATTGTTCCATCATTCGATTTTTCGAATTTCCCATTACAATTTTTCGGTTTTTCAGTTGTTTTTTAAATTTTTGATTTTTCAGTTATTCGATTTTTCAATTTTTCAAAATTTCTAATTTTCGATTCATCGAGATTTCGATTTATCGATTTTTTTTATATTTAACATTTTTCAATTTTTAATTTTTCGATTTTGGGCTATTCGATTTCTCGATTTTTCGCCTTCTCAATTTGTCGATCTTTTCAGTGTTAGAAGTTTTGAATATCTTGATTACATTTTTCGATTTTTCTATTTCTCGATTTTACAATTTTCTTGATATTTCGATTTCCCTATTAAAAATAATTTTTTTAATACTTCAATTTTCCGATTTTTTGAGATTCCAATTTTTCAATTTATCGATTTTTGCCCATTTCGATTTCTTGATGTTTCAATTTCTCGATTGTTCAATTTTTTAATTTTTGGCGTTTCTAAATTTTCCACTTTTCGATTTCTAAATGAAATGATTTCTTGACTTCCTGATTTATCGAACTTCAATATTTCAATTTCTCAATTTATCGATTTTTTCACACTTAAAATTCTTCAGTTTTTAATATTTTGACTTTTGGGCTATTTCGAATTCTCGGTTTTTGATTTTTCGGCTTTGCCATTTTTCGATTTCTCGACTGAAAAATTATTTTTATATGTATCAAATTATTAAGTTTTGCATTTCTCAACCTCTCAGTTTTTCCATTTTTAAAATTTTTCGACTTTTCGATGTCTGGATTTTTTAAGTTTTCGATTTTTAAAATATTTACTTTTTACGATTTTAACACTTTTGGACTTTTGTGTTTTGATTTCACGACTTCCCTATTAAAAATAATTTTTCGACTTTTCCTTCTCTAGATTTTTCAATTTCTAAATTTTTTTAACATTTAAATTTTGGGAATTATTTATATTTTCGGTATTTTAGTTTTTCGATTTTTTATTTTATATTTTAGATTTTTTGAAGTTTCGATTATTCAAACTTTTTCAGCTTTTAGATTTAAAAATTTTTTGATTTTTCAATTTTTAAAATTTTCTAATTTTCGATTAATCGAGATTTCGATTTATCGATTTTTCAATATCTTATTTTCTCAGTTTTTCAAATCTTCGTTTCTTTAAATTTTACATTTTTCGATTTTACGATTTTTTGATATTTCGATTTCCCCATTAAAATTTATTTTTTTATACTTCAATTTTCCGCTTTTTCGAGTTTCCAATTTTTCAATTCATCGTTTTTTTACATTTAAAATTCTCCTATTTTTCATTTTTTCAATTTTTGCCCATTTCGATTTCTTGATGTTTCAATTGTTCAATTTTTTTAATTATTGGCGTTTCTAAATTTCCGATTTTTCATTTCTAAATGAATTGACTTTTTGACTTCTTCATTTATCGATTTCTCAAGTTTTCAATGTTTCAAAGTTTCAATTTATCGTTTCTTCACACTTAAAATTCTTCAGTTTTGATTTTGGGCTATTTCATTGCCTAGGTTTTTGATTTTTCGGCTTCTCGACTAAAAAATTATTATATATTTTTTTAATTTCAAATTATCAAATTTTTGATTTCTCAACTCCTCGGTTTTTCAATGTTTAAAATTTTTCGACTCTTCAAGATTTCGATTCCTCAGTTTTTCAACTTTCCAGTTTTGGGTATTTTTCATGTTTCGATATTTTAGATTTTTTGATTTTCGCATATTTTGGTGTTTTGATTTTTATTTTTTTTTATTTTTTGTTTTTTCAGTTTTTCAATTCTTCAATTTTTCGATTTAGAAAATTTTTGATTTTTCGATTTTGGGTTATTTAAATTTCTCGACTTTTTGACTTCTGGACTTTTCGATTTTCCAATTTTTGAATGTGTCGATTTCCCAATTTTTTGACATTTCAGTGTGAATTCTTTTAATTTTTCATGTCTTCATTTTAGGATTTTAATGTTTCGACTTCTCCATTAAAAAATAATTTTTAATATTCTAAATTTTCGATTCCACGACCTCTCTGTTTTTTTATTTCAAAAATTTTTCGACTTTTCGATCTCTGGATTTTTCAAGTTTTCGATTTCTCAATTTTTCAACATTTCAATAATTTTAGGAATTTTTTACATCTTCGATATTTTAGTTTTTCGATTTTTTATACATATTTGAAATTTTTTCGATTGTTCGATCTTTTGATTTCTGAATTTCGTGTTTCAATTTTGCAAAGTTTCTAATTTTTGATTAATCGAGATTTCGATTTTTTTTTCATATTTAAAATTTTGCAATTTTTAATTTTTCGATTTTGGGTTATTTGCAATTTCTCAATTTTTCGACTTCTCAACTTGTCGATCTTTTGATGTTTCGATTTTTCCGCTTTGCGATTTCCCAATTTTTCGACATTTCAGTGTTAGAATTTTTCAATACCTTGATTTTTCAGTTTTTCAACTCTTCGATTCTTTAAACTTTTTTCGATTTTTCCATTTCTCGATTTTACGATTTTCTTGATATTTCCCGATTAACCTTTTTTTTTTATATTTGAAGTTTCCGATTTTTCGAATTCACAATTTTTCAACTTATGGAATTTTGGGCCATTTCGATTTCTTCATGTTTCAATTTTTAGATCTTCCATATTTTCGCTGTTTTGATTTTTCAGTTTTTTGATTTTAGAAATTCTACATTTTTCGATTTTTTGATTTTTCGTTTTCTCCATCTCTCAGTTTTTAAATTTTTTTTGACTTTTTCAGTTTCTCGAGTTTTTCAAGTTTTGAGAATTTTTCAAATTTTTGATATTTCAAATTTTAGATTTTTCGATTTTTCAGACTAGTTTTCCATGAGATTAGTTTTCTAAAATATCTTGTAAAACGTGTCATTTTTTGATTTTTTTCCACTTTAAAATAAAAATTGCGGTTTTTTAAATTTTGGGGAATTTTGTTGTGGTTGGTACAGCAAATGGCAGATTTTAACATTTTACATTTAAAATTTCACGATAATAAATTATTATTAATAATGTGCGAAGCGGAAAACAACTTTATACCCCCCTAAATACGGAAAAGTAGCACCCAAAATTTATTATCGAATAAATATTGTTCTGTGTACGAAAAACAATTTTCATTGTTTTGTCGGTTATTTCATTAGTTATTTGGCAGTGACATTTGTAACGAAATTACTACCAATCTTGAAAACATAGATTACACCAGTTCTATCACGAAATTCATATAAGTTATTTGTGTTGGCAATTCTGAATTAATGGTAACAATGCTAATATGTCACTGCGAAGTGCTTAACCTAAAATTCTAATAGGTCAAATTTCAAATTGTACTTGATATTCTGTCAGTAGTACCAACTTGCACACAAAAAGCATGACCCACTAGATATCAAGTATTAATGAAAACCCTGTTTAAAACCTGTATACTTACGCTTTTCTGGATGGGCTTAAGCTCAGGCTCTGGAGCTTTACTTGTAAGTTTCTCCGTAATGGAAGCTACTTTATTTTGTCCTAATTCTCTACTATTGCCTTCTTTCAATTTGAGATCTAAATGCTTAATACTCTTGTCTATATCTGCAAACTTGGCTGCAATGAAAACGTTTACAAACATGAAACCACCAATAACGAAAACTTACTACCTTCGGCGCTATCTTGTCTGTCCAAATGCTGCTTTTCCATCTTCGTCTGCCGCGCCTTAAACTGCTCCTTGCTCCATTTTGGCACCTTCTCTTTATCCTTACCGGCAGGTTTTCCTAACTTGTTTTCGCGAATTTTCTTCTCGATTTCTTTAATATTCCAGTCTGAAGTCTCTATTTTGCCTATTGCACGTAAGAGATCTCTTGGTTTCTTCTCAGCAGGCTGAGGATCCCTCCACTTATCTTCAAGATTTTTAATTCTAGCAGCAAAATCTTCATCGGCGTTGCCACGAGTCTGATTGGGTAGTTTGTTCTCATAGTCCTACACAAAAACACAAAAGAGGTTTTTAGAAGTATGTCAAAAATAAAAACAGTCACGGATGCTGTGTATGATGTTGGTATAACCATGTTAGGTTCATGCATTTTTTCAAACATGAGTGATAAAGTAGTTTTTGATTCTCCTATTGTCTAATAAAACTTTATTAGTGTTGTAGCTTTCGATTCTTTGAAGCACAAAATAGTTATAGCTAAAAGCTACTGTACTTACTTTATAAATATAATCAAAAAGTTAATGTCAAATACAAGTCGAATCAACTTCAAAACAACATCACCTGCTGAAATTTTCAAAAACTTGTTGAAAAAATTGGTCGAAGGTTATTTTGACAGAACTTCCCTCGTCTCTGAAGTGTAGTCCAACAAATCCCGCTTCGTTAAAAAATTATATATTTTTTGGGATTTTTGTTTTTTGATGGATAACCAGTAAAAATCAGTGGGGTTAATAACGCTCCCGTAGCCCCTGCACCGCGGGGGCGCAAATTCTAAGTACAAGTACAGACAATATGAAATATATTTAAAATAGAGGACCAAAGGGAAAAATGCTTTTCAAACTACAGAAAAATCGAATCCAAAAATTGAAACATCCGAATATGGATAAATCGAGAAATCAAAACATTTTAAAAATCGAAAAATTGAAAAATTTTTTGCAAAATGAAAAAACCGAGAGGACCAGAATTCGAAGAATTGAATTATTACAATTTTTTCATCGGGAAATCCAGTAAAAAAATAGTAAAAACGAAAAATGAAAAAAATAGAAAAATTGAAGAGTCGAAAAACTGAAAATTCAAAAAATTGAAAAATCCGATCACTGAAATGTTGAAAAATTGGGAAATCGAAAAATTGAAAAATCGAAACACTGAAAAATTAACATCGAGAAATCGAAAATTTAAAAAATCGAATGATAAAAATATTGGAAAGTTGAAAAATTTCCAAAATTGACATGTAAAAGCGCAAAATGAAAAAACTGAAAAATAGAAAAACTCGAGTCGAGGGGGTGAAAAATCAAGATACTGCAAATTCGAACATTGAAATGTTGATAAATGGAGAAATTAAAAAATTGAAAAATTACCATCGAGAAATCGAAATGGCCCAAAATGGAAAAATTAAAAATTGAAAAATTTTAAAAATAAAAAAATTCAAAATTTGAACACTGGGAAAATTGACCCGTCGAGAAATCGAAAAACGGAAAAATTGAAGCATCGAAAGATTTATAAACCGAAAATGAAAAAATCGAAGTTACGTTTTAAAAATTGAAAAGCTGAAAAACTGAAACATCGAAAAATTTATAAACCGAAAATGGAAAAATGGAAGTCAAAAATTTAAAAAATCGAAAAACTGTAAATCCAAAATTGAAATTTTGAAAAACTGAGAAATAGAAACTATAAAAAAATTGGGAAATCGAAAAGTTGAAAATTTTTTTAAATGAAAATGAAAAAATCGAAGTCAAAAATAAAAAAAAAAATTGAAATGAAAAACTGAAAAATCGAAAGATCAAGCATCAAAACAATCCAAAAATCTAGAATTTAAAAAAATCGAAAAACTGTCACATTTCTAAAATTAAAATTTTGAAAAACTGAGAAACAGAAAACGTAGAATTAAAATTCGAGAAATTGAAAAATCCCAGTAGTGAAATGTCGAAAAATTGGAAAATCGAGAAATCGACATCGAAATCAAAAAATTTTTAAAATGGAAACTTTTTTTTTTTAATTTTTTAATCGAGACATCGAAACATCAAGAAATCGTAAAACGAATAATGGAAAAATGGGAAAATTCGAGTCGAGAAAGTAAAAAATCAAGACATTCAAAATTGAAAAATTGAAAAGTTGAAAAATGGGGAAATCAAAAAATTGAAACATTGATAAATTAACATGAATAGATCGAGATATCGAAATGTCCCAAAATGGAAAAATTAAAAAACTTTAAGAACTTTAAAAGCAAAAAAATTCAAAACTCGAAAACTGGGAAAAGTTGACTCGTCGAGAGAAAAAGTGAAAAAATTAAACATCGAAAGATTTATAAACGAAGATGAAAAACTGAAAGAACGAAAAATGGAAGTGAAACATTTTAAAAATCGAGAAATTGAAGAATTGAAAAACTCGAACAATCGAAGCATCAAAAAAATCTAAAATCTCGAATTTAAAAAATTGAAAAACTGTAAAATTATCAAGATTGAAATTTTGAAAAACTGAGAAATAAGAAATTTAAAAAAAGCCAGATATCGAAAAGTCGCAAAAAACTCAAAAATCTAAAAATGCAAAATTCAAAAATCGAGAAATTCAAAAATCCCAACAGTGACATGTTGAAAATTTGGGAAATTGAAAAATCGAAACATTTAAAAATTGGAAATTCGAAATATCAAAAAATCGAGAAATCAAAAAGTGACAAATTTTTGAAACGGAAAAACCGAGAAGTCGAGAAATCGAAAATTCGAAAAATTGAAATATTAAAATTTTTTAAATTGTTTAATGGGGAAATCAAAACATCAAAAAATCATAAAAACGAAAAATGGAAAAATACAAAAATTGAAGAGACGAAGAAGTGAAAAATCAAGACATTGAAAATCCGAAATTGAAATTGAAATGATGAAAAATGGGGAAATAAAAAAAAAATGGAAACATTGAAAAATTTCAAAATTAAAAAAAACAAAAACAAATTGAAAAATGGGAAAACTGACCCATCGAAAAATCGAAATCTCCGTATGTCGAGAAATCGAAAAGCTGAATTACTGAAACATCGAAGAATTTATAAACCGAAAATGAAAAAATCGAAGTCAAAAATTTAAAAAATCGGAAAATTGAAGAATTGAAAAATGGAAAAGTCTCGAATTTAAAAATCGGAAAAACGTTAATATTACCAAAATTGAAATTTTGAAAAACAGAAATAAAACATTTTAAAAATGCAGAAATCGAAAAGCCGAAAACTGAAAAATCGAAAAATGTTAAATTAAAAAAAATCGTGAAATTGAAAAATCCCAACAGTGAAATGTTGAAAAATTGGGAAATCGAAAAATCGAAACATTGAAAAATTGCAAATTCGAAAAATCAAAAAATCGAGCAATCGAAAAGTCAAGAGTTGAAAAAGCGGGAAATCGAAGTAGCACAAAACAATTGAAAACGAGGAAAATTGACTGAACTATCGAAAAATACAAAATTTTAAAATTCAATAATTGAAATTCGAAAAGTTGAATATTCGAAAAATGGAATACCGAAACACCAAAAAAAAATCGAAAAATCTTCAATTTAAACAATTGAAAAATTGAAAAATTCCCAAAAATTAAATCTTGAAAAATCGTAGAAATGAAAACTCGAAACATTTTTTAAAGGGAAAAACCGAAAGTTCGAGAACTCCAAAATTCCAAAAACTAGAATATTAATTTTTTAAATTTTTTAATCAGGAAATCGAAACTTCAAAAAATTGTAAAAACGAAAAATGGAAAAACAGTAAAATTGAAGAGACGAAAAAGTGAAAAATCAAAACAAGAAAATCCGAACATTAAAATGTTGAAAAATGGGGAGATCAAAAAATTGAAAAATCGAAACACGGAAAAATTAACATCGAGAAATCGAAACATCAAAGGTCGAGAAATCGAAATGCGCCAAAAACTTCGAAAAATTGAAAAATTTTAGAAGTGCAAAACAGAAAAATGGAAAAAACGAAGGCAAAAATAAAAAAAATTGAAGAATTGAAAAACTGAAAAATCGAAAAATCGGACAATCAAAGCAACAAAAAAATCCAAAAATTTAGAATTAAAAATATCGAAAAACTATAAAGTTCCTAAAATAAAAATTTTGAAAAACTGGAAAATCGAAAAATGTAAAATAAAAAAAATCGAGAAACTGAAAAACCGCAGTAGTGAAATGTCGAAAAATTGGGAAATTGAAAACTTGAAAATCGAGAAATCGGAAAGTCAAAAAATTTTTAAAATGGAAAAACCAGGAGGTCGAAGTCGAAAAATTGAAACGTTTTTTTTTTTAATCGAAAAATAGAAACATTAAAAAATCGTAGAAACCAAAAATGAAAAAATAGAAAAATTCGAGAAGGTGAAAAATAAAAAAACAAGCAAATCAAAAAATGAAAAATCAAAATTTTAAAATTGAATAATTGAACTCCGAAAAGTTGAATATTCGAAAAATCGAATATGTACCGAAATATCAAAACAATCCAAAAATTAAATCGTGAAAAATTGAGAAATCAAAAATCGAAATTTTTTTAAATTAAGGCGAGACACCGAAAATTCGAGAAATTGAAACATTAGAAAAAATTTTTTAATAGACAAATCGAAAATATATATTTAAGAAATCGAAAAAAAAAACGATAAATCGATAAATTGAAGAATCGAAAAACTTAAAAATCAAGAAATCGAAAAATTTCAAAACAGAAATATCGACCATAAAAAAATCGAAACATCAAAAGATCAAGAATCGAAAAATCTAAACATCGAAATCTTGATAAATCGAGCAATTTAAAATTAAAAATTTTAAAAATCCAAAAATTGAAAAACCGAAAAATCTAACATCGAGAAATCGAAAAATCGAAGAATTAAAAAATTGAAAAATCGAAAAATTGAGAAATCCAAAATTCGAAAAATCAAAAATCGATTAATGGAGAAATTGGGAAATCGAAATTGAAAATTTAAAGACGCAAAAAACTGCAAAATTCCATCGTTAATTGGAATATCGGAAAATTCAGACATCGAAAAATAAAGAAATCGAGAAATCGAAAATGTGAAAAATCAAGAAATTTAAAAATTCAAAAAACTCAAATATCAGAAAATTGAAAATCGGGAAATTGAAAAACTGTTCGGATTATCGATTTCCCATGTTTCCGATAACCTTAAAACGTTTGATTCGTTATATCAATTTTGATTTTTTTCCGAAAATCTGGATGCCTAGGGTAAAAATACGGATTCATAAAGCACAAGTTAAAGAGTAAAGAGGAGTACGTTATTTTATAAAATTTAAATAACATTTACCCCTCTAAAATTGGAAAATAACGTCACTCCATTGTTGGTAGGGATGTTTACACAAATTTTGGTTAGCGTTTTATCATCTACATGATAATCTTAACATGCAGACAGACAGATTGGCAGACGGAACCAAGAGACTTATTTAATCGTACTCTAGAGGTCATGAAACGTCGAGAAAACACGAAAATTGTCAGTCGCCCAATGGCCTCGATTAAAATACTTCCTTAGCTTAAGCTCGGGAAGCAAAAATCACTGTATGCAGAAGCGACTTAAGTCCCCCCTACATTAAAATAAAGCCACATTTTGTTACTAAGTCCCCCAGCAGGTGACGACAATAAGCTCAATTTCATTCTGCTACCCTCAAACATTTGTTAGTACCACGAAACACAAAAGCAAACAACACTCTTTAGCAAACAACACTTCTTACGGGTACGTAAGTGAACTTTTTCTCTAAATCTTTGACTCTGTCTTCAAAATTGGGAGCAGTTTGTCTATAGACAAAAAGTGAATAGTCTTCAAAAGGCAAATCGGATTTAGCATTCGCTTGCAGCATCTGCATGCTCTTTACGAATTGTTCAGTTTGCAATCTTCTTTGCTGCCTTCTCTTGTTTTGTCTCTCTGTTCTATTCGCGGCTATTTCTTCTAGAATTTTCTGCCGTTCCTCCTTCGAAACGGAATTAAATGTCAAAATGTGGTGACACGATTCATTTACCATGCGCATCCACTTTGCTAGTTGACGGATTTAGGAGAGCATGAAATTCTCAAGCTTCATGGTCTCCTTTCGTCCGAAGTACAATTAGAAAAAGCCATTAACAGTAGGGTCCTTACTATGTTATTTAAATAAAACAAAAAGGTACGATACAGTTTACTTAAAAATAATTGCTTGTGAGTTCAGGGGGAGTCTGTTTGGAATTTAGGAGTAAGTCCAGGACGACAAGGACAAACCCCACGAGGGTGCTTTCAAGGAAGGCGTTCAGGAAGTTGCGAAAAATCTGAAAAGGAGGACATTTAGTGCGTTAAGTAGGAGTGATGGAAACATAAAAAAATTAATAAAACATACTGATGTATTGGAACACAAAACTAATCTATACATGTCAAAATAAGTTAGTAAAGGATAAATTATTAACATGCAAAGAAAATAATGGACAGGATCGACATCAAGATGATGTAGAAAGTTGAGCTTAAATTGTGGCACAGTATGTCGGTCCACAAACTAGCTAACAAAATTGTACTCACAACACTAGCACCGATTTTTTCGAGAGTCCTTCGCTTCCTCGTTTTCCTCTCGAGGCTCTGTCTGTTGACGGAGATGGGCTCCGCGTGCCTTTTGTGCCTGCTTGAAGGTCTAGGAACCGAAGGTTGATAAGATGGAGGTTGCGGCTGTTGCTGAAGCGGAGTGACTTTAACAGATTTGAAAGAGATTTCGCTCTTCTTCGTCTCGGGTAACTCCTGTAATAATCCCAAAAAAATTAGTACGGATAAATAAAACAAATACCGCTGAAATAAAGGGCAGCTTAAGGAGGAAGCACTTCATGCCCACCTCCCACGAACTCTGAACGAACTTTCCTCGACCCTGAAGTACAGCCCAACAAATTCCGCTTCTTTGAAAAATTATACAACATTTTTTACATTTTTGTTTTCTGATAACCTCTATAAAGTAAAAACTAGTGGCATAAATAACACTCCCGCAGCTTTTTTGACCTGGATTTTTCAATTTTTCGATCTTTATTTATCATTATTTTAATCTTTCGTTGCTACAATTTTTCGATTTGCAATTTTTCAATTTTTTATTTTTTTCTGTTTCTTCAATTTAACGATATGTAATTCTTCAAGTTTTTATGTTTAAATTTTTCAGTTTTTCGATTTACCAACTTTCGAATGTTTGAATTTTTAATTTTTCATTTTTTTATGTTTCAATTTTTCATTTCGTCAATTTTTTATTTTGTTAATTCTTCGATTTTTCCTTTCTTCAATTTTTCGATTTGTAATTTTTCTATTTTTTTGTTTCCTCAGTTTTCTGATTTTCCAACTTTTGGATGTTTCAATTTTTTAATTTTTCAATTTTTCATTTCTTCAATTTTTCGATTTGCATTTTTTTGTTTCGGTTATGTTTTGTGTCTCGGCAATTTCACGAGTTTTCAATTTTTAATTTTTCAATATTTTGATTTGTCATTTTTTTTGTTACTTATTCAATTTTACGATATGCATTTCTTTGAGTTTTCTATTTAAAATTTTTCTGTTTTCCGATTTTCCAACTTTTGGATGTTCCAATTTTTTGTTTTCCAATTTCAAATTACCTCAATTTTTCGATTTGCAATTTTTTTGTTTCGGTTTTTATTTATTTTGTCTCGGTTTTCAATTTTTCAGTTCTTCAGCTTTTCGTAGTTCAATTTTTTATTTTCTTTACAATTTTTCGATTTTTCCTTTTTTCAATTTTTCAAATTGCATTTTCTCAATGTTTTATTTTTTTTTGTTTCCTGTTTTCTGATTTTCCAACTTTTGGATGTTTCAATTTTTTATTTCATAAATTTTTCGATTTTCATTTTTTTGTTTCGGTTTTATGTTTAAGGCTCCTTTCTTAAATTTTTAGATTTGCGATTTTTCATTTTTTCCTTCAGTTTTCCGATTTTCCAACTTTCAATTTTTCAATATTTCGATTTTTCAATTTTTCATTTCCTCAATTTTTCGATTTGCAATTTTTCAAATTACTATTTTTTTTGTTTCCTCAGTTTTCTGTTTTTTTTATGTTCAGGTTTTAAATTTTTCGTTTCTCCAATTTCAACTTTTTCAATTTTTCATTATTTTTTGTTCCTTCAATTCCTGCAAGAAATGCATATCTTCTTCCAATTTTCGTTTTAAAATTTTTCTGTTTTCCGATTTTCCAACTTTTGGATATTTCAATTTTTCATTTCTTCAATTTTTCGCTTAAATTTTTTATTTTTTTGTTCTTACAAAAAAATTTTCGATTTTTCCTTTCTTCAATTTTTCAAATTGCATTTTTTAATGTTTTATTTTTTTTGTTCCTCAGTTTTCTGATTTTCCAACTTTTGGATGTTTCAATTTTTTGATTTTTCAATTTTTCGATTTGCATTTTTTTTGTTTCGGTTTTTATGTTTTATGTCTAAGTTTCCAATTTTTCGATTTTTCCTTTCTTAAATTTTTCGATTTGCAATTTTTCATTTTTTTCCCTCAGTTTTCTGATTTTCCAACTTTTGGATGTTTCAATTTTTAAATTTTGCAATTTCACGAATTTTTCAATATTTCGATTTTTTCATTTTTTTTTTGTTTCCAATTTCGACTTCTTCAATTTTTCATTTTTTTTTGTTTCCAATTTCGACTTCTTCAATTTTTCATTTTAAAATTTTTCAGTTGTCCGATTTTACAACTTTTGGGTGTTTCAATTTTTCGTTACTTCAATTTTTCGATTTGCATTTTTTTTTTGTTACGGTGTTTATTTTTTTTTATTGTCTTGGTTTTCAATTTTTCGATTTTTGAATTTTTCATTTCTACAATTTTTCGTTTCAGTTTTTTATTTTCTTTGTTTTTACAATTTGTCGATTTTTCCTTTTTAAATTTTGTGATTTGCAATTTTTCATATTTTTATTTTTCAATTTTTCATTTCCTAAATTTTTCGATTTGCAATTTTTCAATTTTTTATTTTTTTCCCTTAGTTTTCTGAGTTTTTTAGTGTTGAGGTTTTATAATTTTTCGTTTTTCCAATTTCGACTTTTTCAATTTTTTGATTTTCAATTTTTCATTACTTCAATTTTTTGATTTGCAATTTTTTTGTTTGGGTTTTTATTTATTTTGTCTTGGTTTTCAAATTTTCATTTCCTCAATTTTTCCTGTAGCTTTTTTATTTTCTTTATTTTACAATTTTTCGATATGCATTTCTTCGAGTTTTCATTAAAAAATTTTTCAGTTGTCGGATTTTTTAACTTATGGATGTTTCAATTTTTCGTTTCAGTGTTTTATTTTCTTTGTTTTTACAATTTATCGATTTTTCCTTTTAATCATTTGATTTGCAATTTTTCTTTTTCATCTTTTTTCTCAGTTTTCCGACTTTTCAAGTTTCGGATGTTTCAATTTTTAATTTTTCAATATTTCGATTTTTCAACTTTTCATTTCCTCAATTTTTCGATTTACAATTTTTCCTGTAGGTTTTTTATTTTCTTCATTTTTACCATTTTTCAAATTTTCAATGTTCAGGTTTTATAATTTTTTGTTTTTCTAACTTCGACTTTTCCAATGTTCTTTTCTTGTTACTTCAATTTTATGATATGCATTTTTTCGAGTTTTCGTATTAAAATTTTTCTGTTTTCCGATTTTCCAACTTTTGGATGTTCCAATTTTTTGTTTTTCAATTTCTCATTACCTCAATTTTTCGATTTTTCAATGTTTCAGTTCTTCAGTTTTTGGTTTCAATTTTTTATTTTCTTTATAAAAATTTTTTCGATTTTTCCTTTATCGATTTTTCAAATTGCATTTTCTCAATGTTTTATTTTTTGTTTGTTTTCTGATTTTCCAACTTTTGGATGTTTAAATTTTTTGATTTTTCAATTTTTTATTTCTTAAATTTTTCGATTTGCAATTCATCATTTTTCCCCTCACTTTTCCGATTTTCCAACTTTTGAATATTTCAATTTTAAAATTTTGCTATTTCACGAGTTTTCAATTTTTAATTTTTCAATATTTCGATTTTTCAATTTTTCATTTCCTCAATTTTTCGATTTACAATTTTTCGTCTACGTTTTTTATTTTCTTCATTTTTACAATTTTTCGAATTTTCTAATGTTTTTTTCTGTTATTTCGATTTTACGATATGCATTTCTTCGAGTTGTCATTTTAAAATTTTCCAGTTTTCCGATTTTCCAACTTTTCGATGTTTCAATTTTTAGAATTTCACAAGTTTTCAATTTTTAATTTTTCGATTTTTCATGTCTTCAATTTTTTGTTTCGGTTTTAATTTTTTTTCAATGTCTCGGTTTTCAATTTTCTGATTTTCTAATTTTTTTTCAATGAGGAATTTTTCATTTTTTCGATTTGCAATTTTTCGATTTTTCAATTCTAGATTTTTTTTTAATTTTTCGTTGCTTCAATTTGCGATCTGCAGTTTTTCTAGTTTTCGCTCTAATACATAACCTAATAATCTTTATAATTTTTAAAATTTTATACTCTTTCAATTTCAAGATTTCAGAATTTTTCAATTTTTCGATCCTCCAATGTTACAGTTTTTGGACTACAATTTTAACGATTCTATAATTTTTCGATTTGATTCGTCTTTTCTTCTTTCCAATTTTTCGATTCATTAGTTTTTTAATTTTTAAGTTTCTCAATTTCTAGTTTTCAGTGTTCAGATCTTTCGTTTCTTTAGTTCTTCGTTTTGTAATAATTCAGTTCTTCAATTTTTCAATGTCCTGATTTTATCATTTTTCTTTTTTCAATGCGAAATTTTTCCATTTTTTGATTTGCAGTTCTCCGGTTTTTCAACTTTTAGATTTTTTAATTTTTCGTTTCTTCAATTTTTGATTTACAATTTTTCTAGTTTTCATTTTAAAAATGTAATAATAATCATGGTCATTAAAATTTTTCACTTTCTCAATTTTTCAATTTTTACAGTTTTTCGACTTTGCAATTTTGACGATTCTATAATTTTTCGATTTTACAATTTTTGGGTTTTCTAATTTTTCCGATCGATTCGTTTTTACTTCTTTCCAGATTTTCGATTCATTAATTTGTTTCAATTTGTAAGTTTCTCGATTTTTAGTTTTTCAATGTTTGAATTTTTCGTTTCATCAGTTCTTCGATTTGCACTTTTCGATTTTGCAATATTTTTTTTGTCTTTTCAGTTTTTCAATTTTTCAATTTTTTCCAATTGTTTAGTTTTTCCACTTTTAATTTTTCGATCGTTCAACTTTTCAATTAAAAAAAATTGAAAAACTTCAAAATTGTAAAATTAAAAAATCTAAAATGAAAAAACGAAAAAGCTAAAAATTGGAAATTAAGAACTTGAAAAACTGAAGAAATGAAAAATGGAAAAATCGAAGGATTAAAATTGAGCAACTTAAAAATCGGAAAAGTGAATTATTGAAAATTAAATAAATTTAAAAAAAGGGGAAAATCAGATAATTGAGAAATTAAAAAATTACAAAATTGAAAAATATAAAAATTGGAAAATCGAGAAACTGAAAAATCAAAAATTGAAAATTTGAAAATTCATTAAACGGAAAATTGTAAAATCGAAAGAAACAGTGAAAAGATGAAGAAATGAAAAAACAAGAAACTGTGAAATACAATCGAGAAAATGAAAATTAAAAAATCGGGAAAATGAAATATAAAAATCAAGAGCTTAAAAAATCGGGGAAAGGAAAAACTGAAAAATCGAAAAATGAAAAATTGTAATATGAAAACAGTTGGTCGAAGGTAAATAAATCCAGGTTTTTCAAAAA